ACACTTAGTATGAATGTGATCTTGCACAGACAGGAGAAAATGTAGAAGGACTTCTCACTATTTGTGAGGATGTAGGAGGATATCTTCACTATCCTAAAAGTAGAGACTTCTGGAGGTACTAAATAATGATTGGTGATGAACAATGAGGAATCTTCTCACAGGATCAGAGAATGGATTTTGTTCTAAGAGACCTTAAGGATCATCTTCCATCTCCCTTCCCTGGGCAGGGACACTTTCGCCTAGACCATGTCGTTCAGAGCTCCATCCAGCCTGACCTTAAACACCTGCAGGAAGTGGGAACACACAATGTCTCTGGGCAGCCTGTTCCAGTGCCTCACCACCCTTATAGTAAAGAATTCCTTCCTGATATCTCATCTAAATCTACCCTACTTCAGCTTAAATGGCCACACATTGCACCAGGGAAGGTTTAGATGAGATATTAGGAATAAGTTCTTCACTGAAAGGATGGGCATATAGTGGGCCTGTCTACCCAGGGAAGTGGTGGAGTCAAATCCCTGAAAGTGTTCAAAAAGTGTGTGGATGTGACAGCTGGGGACATGGTTTAGTGATGAGAACTGTAGTTCTGGGTTGACAGTTGAACTCCATGAACTTAGAGGTCTTTTCCAACCTTAATTATTTTATTATTCTATTCTATTCTGTGATGCAACAAGAGAGCCTACAGCTTTGCTTTCATTCCCAGAAGAGAAATGAAACACCTGGCTCTTGGGAAGTGAGCAGTCGTTCATATCAAAGCTTTAATGTGTTATGTAAGGACCTTCCTCGCAGAAATCCGGAGACCACAAAGGAGAAAGGAAATGGTGGAAGCTAAAAATGAAAAAGTCAGTGATTATCCTAAAATGTGATGTACTTTTTCTTTCATAGCTAGAGAATTTCCAGGCACAGAAGGGCAGCAGATCTTGTGCTACTGGGCACATATACATAATGATGACAGGAAGTACTCGCACACCAAAAGCTTCAATTAAAGAAGTAGTCAGACAAACTTTACTTCACTTTTCTTCAAATTTTATTATCTTTCCTTTTGCCCTGAAGGACAGCAATTTGTGAACTCAGCTTTAAAGTGAGTAAAGGAGTTCAGAAGCTTTTGCTTTACAGGATAGCCTCAAGGCTTCATGTATTAATGCCTGTCTCAGAGTAAGTTCCCCTCTCATCCACACAGAAATGGATAAATTCACCTTTCCTTCAAAGTGAAATGGAGACCACCTCTCATTAACATGGCATTTAAGTGCACACAGCAGGTGTCATCCTGCTTACAAGGAAATGTACTCATTAATATTAATTACAAATACCTACATTCATGAAAATTAATCATGAGTTATCTTCCTTTAAAACTATGTAACAGAGAGAAAAAAGGAAGATAAGTGGCAACATATCATAAATATAGATAGACAGGGAGAGAGAGAAGATAGATAGATATAGACAGATAGAAAGACAGATAGAAAGATAGATAGATAGATAGATAGATAGATAGATAGATAGATAGATGATAGATAGATAGATAGAGACAGATAGAAAGATAGATATGATGGAGAATCAGATCTCACCCACCATCTGGGTCTCAGCCCAACAAAACTCTCCCTGATTTCTTCTGCTTCCCTCTTCTAAACTGATTTCTTCACAGCAAGACAAGGAGAAAATATAACATCATCTCCATTCTCACTTCCAAACTCAAGACATCATGTAGCATTATGAGCTCAAACTTGAGGAATATTGGCATGGAGTTAATCTGAATCTAAGATTCCAATAACTATTACAAAAGGAAATACAGATATTTGCAGATTCACTGGATTTTTTTATCAACCATAGATCCCACTAATGAAAGAATAAATAACCAGCAACTGTATTTATGAGCCCATTAAAGGGACCATCTAAAGAAACTGCAGTTAAAGTCTGTTTATCATTGTCCCTGTATACTGCTTCCAGAAGCTTAACTTAAATGAGCTATAAAAAAAGGAAAACAAGCTATTTCCAAACAATCCTCACAATTTAAATAAAATTAAAAAATAAATCTAGCAACTATAGAAAAGAATAGCAAATAAGAGATGGACCCCCAATCAAGAGAGGCTGGCTGCCTCACTGTACGAAGGACCCCAAGTCCAAACCTGGCAGGGACAAGAACCACTATGTTGGTTTCCATAGAGTTGTGCCAGAGCCACACCAACTCTCAGTGCAGCTAGAGCCAGTTAATGCCCTGCTCCAGTGGAGATCAGTGGGCACAATAATCACCATGCTCTACTCGAGACTGAAAAGAGGAGAGGAGACAGAGTCTTCATTAAGAGAGGGCACAGATTAGACTGGGGTATCATTCCCTAGAAGCTGTCAAAACACGTGTGGATAAGGCAGTTGGGTGTGTGGATAAGGCATAGTTTAGTGGTCAACAGGGTGGTGATGAGCTCATGGTTGGACTTCTCGACCTTGGAAGTCTTTTCAGCCTGAAAAATTAAATGTCCTTGGTTGGGATAGTTTTTGTATAGTAGATATTGTCTTTTGCAACAGTTGGCCTTATCAATACCAAAGTTATTTATTGACTTGAACTGATAGGTAAAAGAAGTAGATGTAGCAAAAGAGCATACAACAAAAGGGACCAAACTGTTCCTCAGATCTCAGAAGTATCTTAACCCCTGTGTAGAGAAAAGTAAGAAAAGTATAACATATCAAAAACCCCACGGGTCCTATTTCAGATATTCTCCTTTCAGCTATTCCTATCACCTACCTTAGACATTCCCTGAAAAGTATTCATATTCTTTTTTCAGATTGTCACAGTCCTCATCAGCTATCAAATTACTTCATCTGCTTTTAAGCCCGGACCCTAATATATTTTGACCTTTGTGTAAATTCTACTGTGTGCTTGCTTGCTCCTTTCAGTACCTAAATATTTGCAAAACTGTGACTTCAACTTCTGGCCTAATTCCACTCCTGATGACCAGCCTGGGGAACTGACAAATATTCTAAATATACTCTGAGAAGCATCAAATTTTTTCCCTCCTCTGAAGCAGCAGTAACAAAAGCACTGCTAAAACATTCACAAATACACCTCTGACTTATGTTAAGAAAAATGTAACAGGCTTGGAAGGAACATAAAATAAATGATCATGTTAGCATTAGAAAAGATGAAATAAGTCACAGTACATTAAATTACTTTTTCTGCCCTTGTATACTCCTCAGGTGCTGCTGGGCTGAAAACGAAATTACACAATTCAGTTTTCTAGGGAAAAATCCTTAGCACTGAAAGCTGAAATTTGCACAGTCCTATGGGAACTGAGGCTGTAGCATTCAAAACACTGACTTTGTACATGAATAATGGGGATGTTCAGTGAGTGAGGTGTTTTTCTCTTTATATCAACAAGTCTTTCTATTTAAAACATATCTAGCTTGAGAACAAGTCCATGAGTTGCTATTTATGCTCAATATTATACCCTTAAGGAACATTATAATGAAAATTTCAATTAAAAATGAGCTTTCAAGGCAAGATACTTGTGTCATGTGGTCAGATATACAGGTGGTGAAAAAAAGGTTTACCACCACGTAGATAAGAGTGCTCCTTTGGGCTGCTTCACCCCAGTGCCGGTATACACATTGCCTTGAGTTTGTCAGTTTGATGGTCAGCCGATGATTCTCCAATATTCAGAAGCAGATTATAGTCTGTAGCTGTTATTTTAGCTCTTCATTCCCAGCTGAAAAAAGTAGTAGTTCAGTTCCTAACTCCTTTAGGAGTTATGTACTGTCATGCCTTTGGAGACCATTATTTTAACCTTTTCAAGTAAAAAAAAAAAAAAAAAAAAAAAAAAAAAAAAAGTGAGGCAATCCATGTATTTAGTCCAATTAGTAAGATATCAAGTGCATCCTCTCTGAAAGCACTGACATGTTTTAAGATTGCAGTAATTTTGCTGTATAAACATGCAGTGCATCATATCTGGGGAACAGAAATAAATGTTCCCAGAAATAAATGTTCCCAGTGGCACGATGAACTCTAAGCAATCCTCAACTGAGAGTCATAAGGAGTTATATAAGGCTCAGACTGCTTGGGCCATACTCTTTGGATGTCCCAGCATTTAGTCCAGAGTGCTTTGCATGGTAACTGTTATATGCAAGTGTTGCAATACAGTTATAATTTGATTTTTTTTTTTAACCTTATAAGTTGGGGAGGCCAAGACTGTTG